ATATTCTGATTTCTTTCACCGGTTCTTTTTACTGGTTCATTATTTGCTAATCAATTTGAAGCCAAACAAACATTTCGTGCAAGAGAAATGTCCAAGTTTTGGTAATTGCTAAAAATCTCCCCAAAGTTCTCAAATCTCGTTTACACTCGTTTACATCGCAGGTGTCTTACTGTCACATTGCAGGTTTGCTTTAAGCAAGGTCTTTTACCGCTGAGATAAACACTCAATTTTAACTCAAATTTAATACAATGGCAGGACAACTTTAAAGCTCTCAAGATAGTATAATATATATATATATATATATATATACACCAAATTCTGTCATGAAACTCTAGATGGCGCAGGCTGATGAGTCCTTAACATAACTGATGATATTCTTAGCATTAAATGACTTGTCACAAGCTGATTGGTTCATGTTGCATACGCAGCCAATGAGCTTGCTGCTTTACATTCAGATAGCTGATTAGCATTCGCTTGAGCATTGCAGCGCACTCTCAGAGTTCCTCTGAAACCCTCCACCTTCCCCAGCTCCACCTGTATAGATCTGATACGGGTTATTTATATGCTATTTGTGCAGTATGTCTTAAATACTCACAGCACCATATCGGCTTATGTATTGGCAGTAGCAAGTTCCTGTACTTGCTTGCAGCAGCAGCAATAATCTACAAATACAGCAATAACCATCAGCAGCAGTAATTCATCAGCAGCAGCAGCGTAGCAGATCTATTCCGCTAAGACCAAATACATTAACATTGTCATATCTGTTACCATGCTAAAATCTTCAGAGAATACTCATGATAGAAATATATACACACACACACAGACATGTAGCTGGCTAAACATTTTCCAAGTGCACCAATCAGTTTTGGTGCAAAACAACCACATATTTAAGCAACTGTACAACACAGTTGTGCTGGCCCCCATAGAGTGCTGAAGGCATGATGTAGTTTGGTAGACCAAAACCCGCAAACAAGAATTTTATCACTTTTGGTTTCATTGTCCTGAAGTCAGTGGGTTTTAAAATCGTTAAATGTCTGAAATAAGGTCTGTGGCTCAAGATATTTTCACACTTTATTCTACAACATAAAATACATCAGTTATACCCCTTGTGTTTTTTTTTTAAAAGCTTTTACTTCTCTTTAAAAAGGTGGTTGCTAACAAGTGTCTAAATTGCACTACAGAGGTTGTCTGGGACATTAAACAATCATGCTAAACAAGTAAACTCATCTACTCACTAATCTGCTTTCACAGCCTCATTGTGTTTATAATCATGCTCTTGCAATCTATTTTTACTCAGACTATTAGGAAGAATAAACGGAAAGAGTTGTTGGAACTCAATTACATTTAGGCATCAAAATTCTTAAAACTTGTGTTCATTTGTGAAGATTATCATGATAAACAAAACATTTAAGAATCATAAACTCTTGTTGGTCACAGAGCTCATTTTCTGCAACAATCCAAAAGCCAATGAAAAAAATTTTATTGGGTTTTTGCAGAGAACCAGGGTGATGCAAACTTCCGGCTTTTCCTACAAAAACACATCCTTACTCTATTGCGCTCCTGCACACCAGCTAGCGCTTCACACTCCAGTCCAGGTAGGTGGCAAAAAAGCACCTTTTATGTTGGTTTGCCAACTACCATTAACAGCAGAAGGAGCAGGTGAACATCTCCGCCACATGCTAGGCTGAAGTGTGAATTATTTCCATTTAAAAATCTAGATTTTTATTACATTTTTATTTTTTTTCTATTTATGTAATTCAATGTTTTTTATTATTTCATTTCATTATTTTTATTTTTTATTAAAAATGTTATGCCTCTTGTCAGAACAAGTGAGACAATATGTCTATAAACAGCAGAAATGGTGGTGTTCAGCACATTCACTAATGAACAGAGCATCTGTTTGCTCAAACACACACAGGTCGAAGGCTCAGTATGCTGAAACAGCACTGAGACGCATTTACAACCTCCTCTGGCTCCCTCTGTGCATGAGTTGCTGGGAAAATGAGTTGTCTGCAAATTCATCAGCCTCAACCTGAAGTCTCAAGTTTGGACAGGATATTGCTCACATTAAGGACAGCCAAGCATCTGTCTGAGCACAGTGGAAGAGAGGGAAGTCTCTTATGATCTGATGGATGTGACAGTGAGTTGGACTCTACTGGAACTCTCCACAGACACTTAACCATACTGATCACGTTGTTTGTTGGGGGCTGTTGCTGTACAGTCAGTGGGGAAGCAGGCCTCAGGAGGTAGTCAATCTCCCTCCGACAAGACAAAGGTGGGGTCAGAAATTTGAGAGCTTTTATTTTGCTTGACAGAATAGCCAAAGAGGATGATATAGAGATTGTACTGGCACTCACATCGCCATGTTTTAAAATATGATTAACAACTGTGTTGTAAATTGTGATCAATCCATCAGCAACAAATTAGCATATTAACATGATGTATTAAGGATCATACAACACTGAAGACTGGAATGGCTGCTGAAAATGGAAATTTGCCATTAAAGAAAAAATTTAAATTTGAAAAAAAAAACAAAAAAAACAACAACAACTGTAATAGTTCTAATTTAACTGTATTTTTGACCAAAACAAATATTACATGTATTTAGAAATTTGTTACAGGGAAGTGAAAAACTACACGAGTTTAACTTGGTGAACATTTTGAAAAAAGTTAATCATATACAGTGCTGTTCTCCATGTTTGTGAGATCAGTACTAAATTTTTCAGCAGTGAATCTTGGATTATTAACATGTTAGGAAATTGTTGCCCTAAAATTGTGGCTATAAATGAAGAGTGGCCTAAAAAAAATTCTTCTAAATCTCAATGCTGAGATGTAGGCCACTCTCTTTTAACAATTTAATCCTTAATCTGTATATAATCTAGAGAACAGTAGGAAAAGAATCTCGAAGCAGGATAAAAGAAACCACAAAGAAGATCAGGAAGTGTCATTATTCTAGGGTTAGTCCGTCACAGTTTTTTTTTCACCTGACATTTTTATGTTTGTAATTTCCAAACTTTGCCTTGGACAGCTAGAGTAAAGGCCTGTGCTGTGGATGTGCACTGGATCTATAACAGACATAGTACATCTTAAATCTATCGACAAAATCTATTCAGTTTACCTCCGCACAGGGCCAGACTGGGACGCAATTTCAGGCCGGGAAATCTCACACTCATCCAGGCCACACAGAAAAAAAAGAGGCCAAAATGGTACCTTTTGGGGTACAACAGCTCGTTACTGGAGCAGTACCCTTAAAAAAACACCTTTGTACCTTTTTTTTTACCCCTAATAGGTACATATTAGTACCTTATAGTAATTTGTACACATAAGGTACTAATATTTACCTATTAGGGGTAAAAGGCAAAAATATGTTTTTTTAAGGGTACTGCTAAGGGTACCTTTTTTAAGGGTACCTTTTTGGCCTCTTTTTTCTGTATATAGCCTATTGACCCACTACAAATTCTGAAACCACAGATAACCCTATTATTTAAATGGCCATCACATAAAAAGGTCTAAATCCTTGGTCTGGGGCCGTGAAAAATAATTAAAGGTTGTCTCTTGAACTGCACCTTCACTTCCCTTTTTACTTTTCTTCATTTTCCCCAATATCTCTGTCTCTCCCTTTTTTTATTGTGCCTGTTACTTCTTGACCAGCAGGTCTACTGTTATGAACAGAACTGTGTCCACCTTGTTGCAAAACGACCACCTCATTGCAATTTGTTATCACAGAATGTTATTTATCTTAAAATGACTTAAATACCCGATATTTAACAAACCTATATTTCATACAAATATATCAAATAAATTTTCTAAAGTGCCTAAAAGTCAAAATCAGTACAATATCTTTTTTTGAAAAATCCTAATACTGAACACACTATTGCATTATTAGGCTGTGATATTTTTGTGTTGCTGTCTGCTCAAGCTCCCTCCCTTCCTATACAATAAATCCATGAGAATATCTGTCTGCTAAATTTATTAATGTAACTTTCCAATCGATAATGATGTCCTTTAGAACAGTATTCTGAATGATGTTAAAAATAGGGTGCCCCTGATAGCCTAACAGGTGCTAGCAGTTTAATACTCAACTAGGTTAATAAAGACAAAACTCTTTAGCGTATTTACAGATGAAACTGACCTGCACCTGAAGCCCTGAACGGGCATTTTTGCTACATTTCGTTGCTTCTTCTGGCCGCTTCCTCTCCTTCATCGAGTCCTGCGCATCGACTCTGTTTGAAACCGTCGTTTGAAGCGCAGAACAGACATGAGCCGATTTGCATAGTGCAGCGCTGCCTGTCAAGACTAACCGATTTATGATTTATTATTGATTTATTATCGTATGACAAAATCGGAAATTATCAATTTGGTACATTGAGAAGACAAAAATATAAAATAATAATAATAACTAAAAAATAAAAAATAAAATAAAAAAAGGGCAGCGGGCCAATTCAGCCGCCAGGCGGTGCTCCCGATGGCCAATCCGGGCCTGGTACTGACTTAAATAAGCTATTTCACATAACAGATGTTTATATATACTCCACAAGAAAAAATAATAAATGAATTTATAAAAATGACCACATTCAAAAGTTTACATACCCTTGAATCTTGTGTGTTTTTTCCCCCTGGATGATAGTTGTGCATGAGTCCTGTGTTTGTCCTGAGCAGTTCAACTGCCTGCTCATGAACAGCTATCACAAAACATAAAAACGTGTCGTGGACCATCCAGGAAATGACACACAGTTTTAGAATTCAAGGGTGTGTAAACCGTGGGTCATTTTATAAATTCAGTTATTATTTTGTCTTGTGGAGAATATATAAACATCTTTTATGTGAAAGGGCTTACAGTAATAAAGAATAACATGCAATTATGAGCACAATTGTATGTATGTATGTATGTATGTATGTATACACACACGAACTTTTTTAAATTAAACATGATGGTCTCTTCATTCCTCCTCCAAAAAACCGAGGTCTCTTATTATGCCAACAAATGGGCATTTTTCTGGGCCTTTTTAACTTTTAATATATTCCCGTGAGGGAAAGTAGCTACAAATAAAGTCTCTTTTAAATACAGAAAAATAAGGTGTCGTCCTTATACATTGTACAGTGTGTATAATGTCATGTGGCTGTATATACACAAAACTGTACTTCCGTCGCGTACAGCAACGTCACTGTGAATCATTGTCATCGCAATGCCTCAACTTCCTGTTTTCGATCCACACTCTTAAGTGAATAATGGCTGAATTAAACCGACAGCTCCAGGAATATTTGGCTCAGTCTAAAAGCGGCGCGAAGACGATATCACAGTCCAGTTCCAGCACTGCAATAGACATCGATGAACCCACTTCGGTGCCGGGGACCTGGTTCGGCAGGTGGTCGAGTCCGTTCTCTGGATCCAGTAGCCGTGGAGCGTCATCAGGCCAAGGATCGAGCAGCGGCTTCTCGTGGCCGTGGTCATCAGAGCCTGACCCGTGTTTGCCGGGCATGAGTCGATCCCAGCGACTGATCGCGTTCGGAACGTGTATTTTCTTCTCTGCTCTGTGCTTTGGACTGTCTGCACTTTACGCTCCTTTACTCCTACTGAAGGCGCGTAAGTTCGCTCTGCTGTGGTCGCTTGGATCCGTGTTCGCGCTCCTCGGGGCGGCGATCCTCCGCGGACCCAGTAAACTCATTGCAACTCCCA